TGATGTACCAAATGGCCGAGGTCAACTACGGTGAGCCGCTTCCCCCGCCGGGCTGCCTAACGCAGAGGAACCCCGGAGCCGGGTGGGCGGGCGGGGTGGGAGGAGGGGGGAGACCCGCCTCTGCTTTTGGAGGGTGGGGCTGAGTTTCTCCGTGGTTCCTCTGCTGTGCGGTGTGCGGAGTAAGGGATGACAGGGGAGCGGGAGACCCTGGGGTCAGTGAGGGAGCACAAGGGGAAGAGAAACCCAGTTTCATGTCTGACACTGAGATAGTCTGAAACCAGAGAGGTTTGGACCGAGCCCCCTCCCCTGGCAGACACCCCCATGAAATGAACAGCCGTTTCACTGGTGCTGAGAAAGAATGGAAGGTTGGGAGTCCAGACCGGAAGTTTCTGTAGAGCATCTTCACCCAAAAGTGCCACTGGCCTGAAATACCAGGGGTCTGCCTGCACATCCTGCCTGATGTCACGCATCTCTGTCCATGAGTGAGCAGCACCCCCACCCTGGCTTCCTGAGAGTGAGAGGGACACCCTGTTAATAAAATGTATTGTTTCTAGTACTGTGAACTGGCCCTGCCAAGGGTCTGGTGTTTGGTTCCACCAGCTCCTGGGACAGAACTAATCCCCCATCCACTGACTCCCCAGGCCAGGTCCAGGACCCTGTGGGCCATCAGGTGCGGGTGCTGGAGCTGCCTTACCTGGAAAATGTGGCCAGTCTGCTCCTGGTGCTGCCACATGACAAAGACACCCCACTGAGCCACATTGAGCCTCACCTCACAGCCAGCACCATCCACGTCTGGACCGCCAGCCTGAAGAGAGCCAGGATGGACGTGTTCCTGCCCAGGTGAGCCGCTGCGTCATCTTTACCTGGCGCTCTGTGGCCTGATCCAGTTGGCCAGGCCTGGACTAGAGAACCCAGGTGGTCTGACTCTAGGGTCTGTCCTCAAGCCACTGGGCCGGCTTGTCTAACGTCCCCCTAGAGGGTAGGCCAAGGGGGAGTTACCCTAGAGTTTGGGTTCATTTCAGAGTCACTGCTGACTCACTCATGATAGAGACTGAAAGGAGCTCATTTCCTGGGGTTTTCTTGAGAGGAGATACTCTGCCTTCACTGGGGCAGACTGGAGCCCCCAGGCCTCCACTCCAGCCTCATGCAGCTCCCTGGGTGGGGAAAGAAGGGCAGTGCAGTTACCTTGGAGGAATGTGCCCTAAACTTGATCACGTCCTAACAGTACACCATCGTCATTTGTCAAAACCCAAGAGGCAAAATCACTTACGCAGCTGAGCAAATACAGACATAATTCTGATCAGAAGGCAAATCAAGGCACAAAAATTCAAGACTTTAAGTCCTTGTGCTGAAAGTTTCATTCTTTATAAATAGAGGAGAGCCTTTCTTTGTGAAAACCCAGTAGGTACAGATGCAAATCTCCAATAGGTCAAAAAGTTAAACAATGATGCTGCTTTGCAAAGCTCATCACTTTCCAAAGGATTCTTCAGTGAACTTCTTTAAAAGATAAGCTCCTCCGGTGCATCTGAAGTCAGTAAATTCATAATTAATTTGTAGACCAGCATTCAGCGAGGAAATCATACATGGGCTCACTTTCAGTGTGTGGATTCTTCATGCTCCTTCCCACTGGCCACCTTGGCCTCCTCCACTTACCAGGCTCTCTGCGGCGCTGAGCCAGAGGCCTTGGCTGTGCTCCCTGGAGGAGTTAAAAATAAGTCCAGGCACTGAAACCAAAACACACAAAGAGAGACCCAGTGAGTGAAGGGCCAAGGTCTAAAGTGGGATCTGGCATAGCCAGGGCAGAAGGTGAACTTAACTCTCAGATAAAACCTATCTCTCCAAACCAAACGTTTGGACCCCAAATCAAAGCCCAGAGACTGGCTATTTCAACAGATCTCTGTGGCATGGAGCAGAAGCTACCATTATATTTGTTATATTTGAAAGAAGCTCAGCAAAGGAAGAAGAGCTTTCAAGGCTAAAAGTGGAGAGAGAATGCAGCCGGGTACAGGAATTGGCTACAGTCTTTCTGGGTGTTGGAGACAGATGGTTGGCCTCATTGGGAGCAGCTGATGTAAGGAAGAGACCCCCCTCCCCCCAGGAAGTGCCCAGCTCCACTGAGAACCCTCTGCTGGAGCTGATTCTGCCCTTAGAACTTGCAAAGCCTTGAGGAATGATCCTAAAACACTTTGGCCTTTATCCTCTATTTTATTAATATAATGTTTTAAATTGATTGATTTTCCCATGTTGACCCCACCTTGCATTCCTGGGATAAATCCCCCTTGCTCACTGGGGGATTTGTATGTTGCTGGATTCAACTTGCTAGTATTTTATTGAGGATTTTTACATCTGTATTCCTAAGGGACACTGCTCTGTAGTTTTCTTACGTTGTCACTGTCCAGTTTGGGTAAAGGGTGTCTTTTTTTAACTCAAGATATTTTTGTAGCATTTCTTCTGGACTGGCCTTCATAGCCATTCAAGAAAACAATCACTGTCATCTTTCATAGTCATACCTCACTTTTACAGTTGTCTTTAATTGCTAACAATGATATTACCCTGATTTATTACCTACCGTAATCACCATACCTTAGCTTTGGCTTCAAACATGCCTTAGCGCTTTCTCAACGTCACTGAGAAACAATGAAGCCACAGTGGAAACAATAAAGTACCCGAGCTGCGAGCTGCGCTGGGCATTGTTCTGAGCACCTTACAAGGATTGTTTCATTTAATTTTCACAAAGTTAAGAACAAAGTACTACTATTAGGCTTGTTTCACAAATGAGGAGACTGAGGCAGAGAGAAATCAAGTAACTCGTCCCAAGTCCCTAGCGAACATGAGGTTGAGCCAGCATCCAAACCTGGCACCGGATTCCCAAGGTCACGTTCATAACCACTATGTTTCAGCACTGAATTCTCAAAAGAGTGTGTTTTAAGGATTGAAGAAAATTTCAGAAAAGGTGGTCCAAAATCTTTTTGAGAAATAGCATTCTTAGAGAAAGCAAGTGCCTTTTTGGAAACACTTACAAAGATTCAAAACACATTTATGAGAAAATCAGATACGTCTGTTGAAAATATTGGTCACACTGTCTTGAGTGGCAACGAAGACCTTTGCTATTAAACAACAGGTCTTGTGCAGTATTTTTGCTCTCCTGCAGGTTCTGTCTGGTTTCTAGAAAAGGCCATCCAGATTCCATTTTGAACTTTTTTATTTTCAAAGAAAAATAATGTCAGCAGTCCTGTTAAAAGGCCCCTTCAACAGTAAAATTTTAAATGCCTTGCCCTTGAAGACACGTGACACAATTGCTCTGCTGATTCTTCCTGCTCTCAGGACTTAGGAGGAAAAAATCAAAGCCTTAACTTGAATCCCTTCCCCGCTCTGCATCAAAGACCCACATGCAAGCCTAAACATATGTCATATCAGGTATAAACATATTAAATGAGACACTCTATTGATTGGCAATTAGTCAACAGCTTCTTTTCTGCACCTGCTTTGTGTGAGATGCCCCCAGGATGCGAGGTAGCGAAGTGTAGACGCCCAGAGCTCTGGCTCTGCCCTCGGTTCACCTCCCTTCACGTCGTGCTCCACCACGTTCCATGTCATCTTGGGCTTTTTTTTCAGCTCTTTAAGCCTCCGTTGTTTTGTCTGTAAAATGAGAATAATAAGAACATAGTTACGTGAAGATGAAATGAGATCATCTGCATAAAACACTTATCATCGCACCTAGCCCATGGCAAGCGCTCATTACATAGGGACCAGGGTAGCCTCTCTTCCCCAGTAGTTTACAATATCATAAATAACAGTCATAGGAAGCAGAGTGTTTGTACATCAAACGAGTAGAACAAAGTGTTTAATGGGGCTCTAAGAAGCAAAGGTCACAAAACAGCTGGGGAAGAGGAGGAGGAACAATTGAACTGAGCTTTGAGGAAGGGACAGTCATTCAAAGTCAAGGGAGACCTGGCAGGAACAGCAGAAGCAAAGGTCCAGAGGTGGGAGAGAGCAGGTTAGTCAGGGGGGTTGGGGGTTCTGGAAGGAGCAATGACAGATAAATCCAGATACGAGCCTGGAGATCCCAGACTTTCAAATTAGGGGGTTTGGATGTCATGGAGTGTGTAGGAAAGTCTTTTGAGTGCAAAATTTAAATAAAAGTTGATGGTTTGTTTTTGTTTTTTAGGTTTAGGATCCAAAATCATTTCAACTTAAGACATATTTTATATTCTTGGGGCATCACCGATCTTTTTGATCCACTCAAGGCCAACTTGAAAGGAATTTCAGGTAACAAAAGGTCTTCTTCCAAACTTATTGGCATTGGGTTTGGGGCAGTTTTATCATACACTGATCGAGGGGGGTCTCATCTACGGAGCCTTCCATGGTAAACAGCCAGAGTTCATGTTGTTTAAAAGAATAGAGGAAGTGTTTTGCTTTATGTAAGAAGATGTTGCTTCTGATAATAGTCAAATTTGGGTTGGACTTTGTGGAGGAGGAGGTATTTCATGAGACGTCTAAGCACCGTTTTCAGTTACCACCTTCAGAGTGAAGTCAGTGACCACAGGACACGATATAACTTACCCCGCCTCTGCCCGCATGACCCGGAGCAAGACCAAGACATGGGGGCAGCAGAGCCCTGCATTCTGACCTCCCACTGTCAGGCCGGCTGCACACTGTCTGTTTCATCCCTCCTCTGTCCTCTTCTCATGAGCTGACCTTGAAACTCTCCCTCATCCATCCAACTTCCTTTCTTCAAATCGCTCATCCATCGGTAACCTTGCCTTAAAATGTTCTCCCTCCCTGAGTCTATACTAAATTTCTTGGCTTACAGCAGATACGCTACTACTAATCACCAGAATCTGTGTTCACCCGGGGCCTGACAGAACTGACATCTAATGTTAAAAGCGAGTGAACTGCCAGACGTTATGTTCCCGAATCCTCTCTGGACACCATTGGCTAAGCTATTGCCAGCTCCAAGGGCTCCGGTTTGTTTCTGCTCTGGGTAGTAGTCAGTTATCTGTACAAAGATGACCCTGGAGCAGGCATTCTCATTGGCCTTGATGCTTTTCAGTGCCTGGTGAGCTTTTGAAGGCTAGAACCATACAGCACAGATAAGTTTTCTAAAGGTTTGCTCGGAATCTTCTTGCTTAAGCAATCACAGGGGAAAAAATGCGAGTTTGGTCCGCAAGTCTTGGCTCGGGCTTTCGATGTGACCAGTTAGACTGCATGGCAGAGTTACTTATTAAATAATGCGCAGGAGGAAGGATCTATTCTAGATTGTTTATAGTCTGCCAGCTCTGAACTCATTGCCTAAACATGCAAAGAGATAAGCAAGGCCATAGTCAAGTTTGGGCAGAGTGCCCCCAAGGATGCCTGGCACACATTTATAGTCAATAAATATTGTTGACTTGGTTGAATGACTCAACCAGGAATGTTCCCTGGTGACACAGGCATAATCTGACGCTGCAGGGAAAAGAGGAAGACTAGAAAGAGTGAAAGAGTGAGAGGCAAGGAAAGAGCGAGGGATGAAGAACTTGCGTGTGTCTATCTTTAATAACGTGCAGAATCCAATCACGGTATCTGTTTGTGACTCTGGGGCTCAGTATTGCGTTCCTGTTATTGATCATGCTAGCTCAGAACTGCGGGGCCATTCTGACCTTTTCTTCCACACCACTACTTTCAAGTAACTACAGCCACACTACTCTGTGACTCACTGATGTCCCTTCATAGTTCTTAAACCTCTCTGCCTGACGTCTTAGAAGTACATCCTAAAATGCGATCAATCCTATGTCCTCAAACAGGACTGAGCGCAACCCGCATCATGCAGCTCCCTGACTGGTAGACTTCTGAGGCCCAGAGCTCCCTTGACAAGACCTAACAAGCAACCTCTTTTAAAAAGAACCTTTTAAAATACCTAACCTCTTGTTTTATAATGCAGTCAAAGTCTACTTATATTTGCTCAGATCAGCAGAAATATAGGCTCATGAATCTGTCTTGTTAAATAATTATCAAGCAGTTACCATTTACCAAGTAGGAAGGTTGTATGCATGTTTCCTAGTGATAAAACACATCTACCTTATGCTTTTCTCCCATAAAATTTTGCTCCTCTAATGCAGGGTTCACCAAATGATGGGCCACCACCTATTTTTATAAAGTTGTACTGAAACCTGGCCACTCCCCTTCATTTACAAATCATCCGGGGCTGCTTTCCTGCTATACAGAAAGACTTGAGACATTGCAACAGACACCATATGGCCTGAATGGCAAAAATATTTAATATCTAGCCTTTTACAGATAGAGTTTGCCAACTAAAATATTGCTTTACAGTCCCCTCCTTTAAACATAATCAAGAGAATAGTCACTTCTGTGCCTAAGTGGGCTGTTGACTTAATTCTGAAGACATGGCCACTGAATCTTTCTAACCAACAGTTTTATCATTCCTCAAATGGAGTAGCCACCACCCACCTCACATCTTACTTGTGGAAATGAAATTCTTTATCATTTAGCAAAGCATCAGCAGAGAGCTTGTCAGAGAGGAAGAGATCAGAACATGCTGGTCTCCCTTCCTACAGTTAACAAGGGGTTACCAGGCAGTTTTGTACTATTGATGGAAACTCAGTAACTACAGGGAACATTTGGGCTTTTCTGTCCATTTGGTTCCAAAGCCCAGAATCATTTTATTCAGGTTCTTATTCCCTGTTTAAAAGTCACTCATCTCATCTTTCATAGTATCAAATCTTTTTTTTTTTTTGGCTGCATGAAGAACTTGCTCAATATCCTTTCAAGGCCCAATTGAGCACAGGGTATGATTTTTCTCCTTAGACAACCTTGACACTACATGTTACAAACCTTTTGAGAATGATTCCAGTTTCACTTACACTAGAGACACCAGCTAGACATACACTTCTTGAGCAGCCTCACTTCCTCTAGGATCAACAGGCTTTGATACAAACTCGTGCTTCCTAATCCAAGAAATATTCCTTGTGCACAACTTGAAACTTTGAAGCAACGATCTTATTCTTGATTTCTGTGAGTAGTTTCCAGTCTCTGCTCAGGAAAACGTACAAGCTCCCTGTTAGGATGAGTGAATGAGCAAAGCAGCCATAGTTGCTTGGCTGTGTACAGAGTGAACTTGCGCCACACCAGATGGCTGGGCAGAGCTACAACAGGTCATCAAGGCTGCAGCATAGGGCTTTCCTGCCTTCAGTCCCGTTCCCAAGAAGACCAGCTGGCAAATATCCATTGACAAGTCACCATTGTAGAAATCCCCTCACCAGGGTGAGGCTGAAGCACACTCTGAAACACAGACACTGAGAAGCAGCACAACAGAAAGGAAGAGGAGTGGCTACATTCTGAGCACATCACCCCTCCTCCGGGCTGACGCAGCACTGCACTGAGAGTGCCCCGGGTCTGCGGTTCCTCCAGTGGAGACAAGAGCCACGGTGGATGTCCAGCTCATTCAGTGTTGCAGGACACATCCTGGCAGGCCTACCCAGGTCTCACCCCATGGGGACCACTGAGGACCAGCTAGAGATGGAGAAGCGGGGCAAAGCTTACAGCAATCAGCTCCCTAACCATGGGGGACCATATTGCAGTGGCACCTGAGCAGAGACCCCAGCCAGCAGCAATGCCCATCTGTGGAGCCACCCCAGTGGCCCTATCTGCCCAGAGGGCTCAGTTGGCAGTTCTACGATTTGGGTCCCCAGTGAGTGGACCATACTCCCACCCCACCCAGGAGGGAAAGCAAATTCACAGCCCCGCCCCACTGCCAAGCAGAGCCTCAAGTCCCGCTTATCCGGGAAGCCTGGCCAGAAAACCAGACAGCCAAGAAGCCTATCCTACAGCCCTTCTTCGGCAAAGACCCAAGCCAACAGCCCTGCCCAACTGCTGAGCATAGCCCCTGGCACCACATAACCAGAGAACCTGAACAGTGACTTTGAGCAGCCTTGCAGCCCAACCCATGGTACCACCAAGCCGTAGAACCCAGCCTGTGGTCCTGACCAGCCAATGGCACCGTCTAGTCAGGAAACACAGCCTGAGATCCCACCTGACCAGGACTGATTGCAAAGCCCAGCCCATAGCTGCCCAATCATGGTAGCCAATCAGCAGCACCATCCTGCCGAGCACAGCCTGCAAACTCACTCAACCAGAGGTGGTTACAGAGCTAGCAGCCCAACCTGACCATGAGACACAGCCAGAAGCCCCACTTGAACAGGGAGCTCATTCAGTGGCCTCACTTGAATGCACAGTCCAGCCAAAGTTCCAACAACTGCCCTAAAGAAATGGACAGCTATGAACTGTCTGACAAAGAATTCTGAATAATCCTTTTAAAGAAGTTCAGTAATCTATAAGAACATACAGACAACTAAACAAAATTAGGAAAACAATGCACATATAAGAGTTCAGCAAAGAAATAGAAACCATCAAAAAACCAAAGCAAAGCAAACCAAACCAAACCAGAAATCCTAAAACTGAAGAATACAATGACTGCACTGAAGATTAATAGAACGCTTCAACAGCAGACTTGACCAAGCAGGAAAAAATCAATGAACAAGAAGATAAGTCATTTTAAAATTATCTAGCCAGAGGAGCAAAAAGAAAAAAGAATGAAAGAGTGAAGAAAGCCTATGGGAGTTGGGGACATCCATCAAAAGAAACAATACACAAATTATGGGAGTCCTCAAAGGAGCAAAGAAAGACAAAGGGATAGAAAGTCTATTTAAAGCAATATTGGCTGAAAACTCCCCAAACTTGGAGAGAGAGATGGGCATCCAGATTGATGAGGTACAAAGAACCCCAAATAGTTGAACCCAAAAAGGGCTACACTGAAACACATTATAATTAAATTGTCAGAAGTCAAAGAATTTTGAAAGCCTCAAGAGAGAAGAAATAAGTTCCATACAAGGGAACCCCCAAAAGATAATCAGTGGATAGAAATCAACAACCTTGCAGACCAGGAGGGAGTGAGATATATTCAAAATATTGAAAGAAAAAAAAATAGCTAAGAATACTATACTGGCAAAGCTGTCCTTCACAAATGAAGACGAGACAGACTCTTGCAAGCAGACAAAAGCTGCGGGAGTTCATCACCAATAGACCTACCTTATAAGATATGCTAAAGGAAGTTCTTCAAGCTGAAAGAGAAGAATGCTAATTAACACTGTGAAAACGTATGACTGGGTAAAAATCAGTGGTGATGGTAAATATACCATCAAAGTCAGATTCGCTAATATTGTAATGGTGACATGTAATTAGGACTAATCAATAAATTCAGTATAGTTGTTGCA